AATATAGAGCAATTAAAATAGGAGCACAAGGCCGGGATTTAGCTCAGTGGTTCTGCTGCCTGTTTCACAAGCGCAAGGACCCGAGTTCGATCCCCGGGACCAAAAAAAATAAAATAAAATAGGAGCATCTTTTAATCCTATAAATTGGTATCTTATAAATATATATTTTAAAGAAGGCCCATAATTTTTTCCTTTATTTTGGTTTTGTGAGACAGAGTCTCACCATGTGGTTCAGGCTGGCCTCAAACTCATGGCGATCCTCCCAGCCTAAGTGGTGGGATCACGGATGTGTGCCACCACATCCGGCTAGAAAGTTTGTAATATTGAAATGAAAACATTTCTTCACACTAACTAAGCCAATTTTATCTTAAGATATCCTCAGGGGTAAACTTTCAGTAGAGATTGTTTAAAACTCTCTGGCTCTGACACTTGCAAGGAGCTAAGTAAGTCCCAGGGAACATCTCTATAATGACAAAGGGGTAAAACCAAGAATTAGTGTATGTGCTGCTGGAGGGAGCACTAAAACTGAGAATTAGGAATAGGGCATCCTCCTGACAAGAGTGCAATGAGCGCTGTTAACAAAGGCTATGAAGTTATAAACTAAAGCCTTGTGTGCACTATGGATGTCCCCCAAACTCCGTGTTTCTAAATCTTAGTGGCTTCTAATTGAATCCATTCAATTTGTCATCTAAACTGTCTTAACTGATCATGACTTGTATGCAAAAAAAAAAAAAAAATTCTGCTGGAAGTCAGAAAATGTCTTTGGGTTCCCCAAAAAGTGTTACACAGACAGCAGTCACCAATGAAGGCAGCAAAGCACTAAGAAAGTGACACCTACTCCTGATAAATACCCGGGAACCTACCACACTCTCTGGGGTCAGTGGCGCACCTGCCAAAGTGTCTGAAAGGACACCCTTCCTCAGTGCAGCAGCCACCTATTTTTCACACCATCCCTGCTCCCCACCTCTACCTAGCACACTTGTATTCTTCCGCCAAATGCCAACTAAAATGTCACCGCATTCAGGGCAACTGCCCTACCATCCTCTTCCTCCGAACTGACAATCCTTCCTCTGTACCTTATACTTTCTCCTACTGATCCATCTATCCCATATACAGTATGTAATCTGATTATGTATGTTTACTCTCGTTTCATTAGCGAAATCCTCGGGTGCACAGACTAGTCCTTCTTTTTGGATACTCTGTGTCCAAAACTGTCAACCTCAGAGCAGCAGGCTCTCAAATATTTACTGAATGCACAAACAGATGAAGCATGAAAAGGACGTCAAAGGAATCTATCTATAAAGCCTACATACAAAAATGCATCTGTTTCATAGTCAACTCCCAGGTTTTCTCCTTGGGGCTTACATACAAGGAACGTTTACTTTCAAAGATAAGAAACTAATAGAGTTAATTATAGTACTACCTGGGGCTGGGGATGTAGCTCAGTGGTGCCGCACCTGCCTGGCAAGGGCAAGGTCCTAAGTTTCATCCCTGGTGCCCCCTCCAAAAAAAATCATACTACCTCTAATAGTTTAATATAGGATGTCAAATACATGGCAGAATTCCTAACAGGAGAACCACTAACAGAACCGAGTTTGTGAGAAACTCCTTCCCTACTGCACTCTATTCCAAGACAGACACTCCACTGCTAATAAAGCAGAAGTCTAGTTCTGCCAGAAGGCGGAGTATAAACTGGACAACCTTTTAAAAGCTTTCTTCGATCTTCTCAGTTGTTCGGATACAAGAGAATCAGCTTTAGTGCAGGAACATTAAGTATCCTCTGATACCTTTGTGAACTTAATTGTCCTACGAACCAGGCCTCATTCTGACAGGCAAGGTAGAAAATAAATTCCAAATTTAATTGTGCCCACTATCAGCAGAATAACTGTCCCAAAAGACACCCACTTCCAAATCCACAGAACCCGTAAATATGTTACTTTACTTGGCAAAAGAGATTTTGCCAGTCTGACCAAGTTAAAGATTTTAAGATTACCCCGATTATAAAATGAGCCCAAAGAAATGAAGGGCCCCTATATGAGAGAGGTAAGAAGGTCAGAAGTCAGAAAAGGAAATGTGAAACAGACGCAAAGGATAGAGAGAGAAGAGAAAGAAGGGGAGGAGGGAGAGGGAAAGAAAGGGAGGGAGAGAGGAAGACACCACGCACAGCCAGATTTGAAAAGGGAACCGGAGTAGAGGAATGCAAGCCTCCTCTAAAAGGTAGAAAATTCAAGGGGAAAAACTCTCCTGAGAGCTTCCTGAAGGAATTCAGTGCAGCTGAATTTTGGCCAAGTGAAAACCTCCTGAACTGCAAGATATAAATGTGTTGTTTTAAGCCACTAAGTTTGTGGTAATTTATTACCAGCTGCAACAGGAAACTAATACAATGCTTGAAGAATTATCTCTTGAGCCAGCAATGCACAGCAGTCAACACATACGCTCTCTGTCCACTACCACCATTCCTGTTCAACGTGGTTCTAAAAACATTAGCTAAAGTAGTTAGGAGAGAGAAAAAAATAAAAGAGATATGGACAGGAAAGGAAGAAGTTAAACTATTATCATTATTTGTAAGTGACATGATTGTCTTCATAGAAGATCCCAAAAATTCCACCAAGACTCTAGAATAACCAAATTCAGTAGTGCAGCAGTATACAAAGTCAACACTCAAGTCAGGAATTCCTGAGAAATCAGGGGAAAAACACCTTCTACAACAGCATCAAGAAAAATTAAATACTTAGGAATTAACCTAACCAAGGATGTGAAAGACCTCTACATGTGAAAACTATAGTGCCCTGAAAAAAGAAATCAAGCCAGGCATGGTGGTGCATTCCTGTAATCCCAGGCTTGGGAGGAGATGCGGAAGGAAGACTGCTAAGAGTTCAGGGTCAGCCTCGGCTACACAACGATTTCAAGACCAGCCTGAATTATACAGCAAGACCTTGTCTCAAACACACAGAACAAAACAAACAAAAAAAGAGAGAGAAAAGAAAAAGGAGAAAAGGAAATTAAACAGAACACCAGAAAATGGAAAGATGTCCCCATTTTCCTAGAGAGGCAGAAATATTATAAAAATGGCCATACTTCCAAAACTGTTACACAGATTTAACAAGATTCCAATCAAAATACCAATAGCATTCCTCACAGAACTAGAGAAAGCAATCGTAAAATTCTAACAAGACCAGAAGAGACCTAGAACAGCAAAAACAATGGGTAACAAGGGCAAGTCAGGAGGCATCATAACTCCTAACTTCCAGTTATACTACAAAGCTACTGTGATAAAAACAGCATGGTATTAGCAAAAAACAAAACAAACAGATTTGTGGATCAGTGGAACAGAACACAGGATGCAGAAACAACTCCAGGTACACTCAGCTACCTTATCTTTGACAGAGACCAAATGTTTTCACTGGATAAAAGACAGCATCTTTAACAAATGGTTCTGGGAAAAATGGCTTCCCACATGCCAAAGACTGAACCAGGATCCATACAGTATCTCTCACCATTCACTAAACTAAAAAAAAAAAAAAAAAAATCAAAGATTTAAATATTAAAACAGAAACAATCTGTTGGAAGATTACATAGGTAAAACTCCAGAAGATATAGGCATAAGCAAGGACTTTCCCAATGACACAAGAAATAATACAGAGTGAGAATCAACAAACGGGATTAAACAGCTTCTGCACAACAAAGGTAAAAACCAACAGTGTGAAGAGACAACCTACAGAATGGGAAAAAAATGTTACCAGCCATTCGTTGGACAGAGGACTGATATATTAGAATATATAAAGAATTCAAAAAATTAGACCCCCCCCCGCCAAAAAAAGATCCATTTAAAAAAATGGACAACAGAAATGAATAGACACTTCTGAGAAGTACAAACAGCCAATAAATACATGAGAAAAAAAGGCTTGTCACTAGCCAGTAAAGAAATGCAAATCAAAACAACACTGAGAATCCATCTCGCTCCCGGAAAAGATGGCTATCATCAGGAAATCAATAACACCCTGGCAAGATCACAGGGGGTGGAAAGGAATCTTTTACATTTTTGGTAGGATAACAAACTGATACAATCATTGTGAAAGCCAGTATGGAGATTCCTCAAAAAACTACAAATAGGCCGGGCATGTTGGCGCACGCCTGTAATCCCAGCACTCACGAGGCTGAGGCAGGAGGATCACCGGGAGTTCGAGATCAACCTGGGCTACATAGTGAGTTCCAGGTTAGTCTCAACTACATAGTGAGACCCTGTCTCAAAAAACAAAACAAAACAAAAAATCCAACTACAAATAGAAATTCCATTTTACACAGCTATTCCTCTTCTAAGAGTATCTTCTTGAAAAAGTCAAAGACATCATATCACAGTGAAACATGCATACCCATGTTTATAGCAGCACAATTCATATAAGCTAAATCGGGGCCAGGGACTTAGCTCAGTGGTTCCGCCATCTGTCTTGCAAGTGCAAGGACCGAGTTTGATCCCTGGCACCAAAACACAAAACAAAACATATAAGCTAAATCCTAGAAGCAGCCTATATACCAATCAACAGAGGAATGGATAAAAAGAGTAGTATTTATACACAATGACGTACTACTCTTCCATAAAGAACAATGATGAACTTAAGTCATTTGCTGCAAAGTGAATGCACCTTGAGAGCACAATGTTAAGTGAAATCAGACGCACAAGCTTAAATATCATAGTTTCTCTTATATGAGAAACCCAGTATATAAACTACAAAAGGAAAAAAAAAAGACTATAGGAAAAAGAGGTTCCTGTAATTCAGCACGGCCAACATCTCTCAAAGTGTACCTTGATTTAGCACAGCTGTTTTGTGTTTTATCATGTGTGTTTTGGTCTGTTACTCTGGCTGTTCATCCATGTTTATAATTAACTGATAAAGACTTTAAAAATAAATAAATCCATCTTTTTTTAAAAGGCGATAGCCAGAAAAAAATAAATAAATACAAATAAAAATAATAAAATTAAATTTTTTAAAAAACCTTACCTTCTAAGAGTGAATGATCTCGAACAGCTTCTGCAGCCAACACGGACTTCCCGCAGCCGGCCATGCCATAGATGGTGACCCACCCTGGTTCACCCTTCAGCTTCAAGAGCTTCTGCTGAACTGCAGCCACCAGCTTCTTCCTGGTAACAAAAACAACTGGCCTTTGCGGTACTCCACCTTCACACAGCACTGTCCTGACTGAAATCCAAAACAAGCGTGAATGAATCAAGCCCTGAAATGGCTACTTAATACAAAAAGAAAATAACAGAAAAGTGCAAGGCTAAGATCTTAGCCTCAGAATCTCCCAGAGAAATAAGCGGTTAGCACATTAACTTAAAACTTTTCTGGCCGCTTGGGATACAGAAAACAAAAGCAAACATACACCCTTCAAGACAACAGAAGTCTCCATCTACACCTTATCCCTTCCTGACTCTCCAGCCACGTCGTCTCTGCTGGAGGCTGGGAAAGTGGAGAAAAGCTCAGTAGTACAAAGAACACCTGTTCACCAGGTAGGAAGCCCTGGGTTCACTCCCCAGCTCTCAACTTAAAAAAAAAAAAAGGCAATCTGGGAAGGTGAGTGTAAAGGGAAGGATGTTTATGGAACTTCTTTCAAGTACACAGATGTCTTAGTATTTTTATTCTTTCCTAGAAACTCTGTAATACACAGAACTGCAAGAAAAATAAGAGCTACCGTCAGTCTTATCTCTAAAAATTAAGGTACGCATGTTAGTACGCATGTTAGTACGCATGTTAGCAATAAATAGTTCTCCAGGTGAGAATAAAATGAGTTAACATGGATGCATGCAAAAAATATTTAAACTGAAACTCTACTACCATTTTTCCATATGCATTTTTCAGGGAAACTACCGTACTCTCTTTGGAACATTACTTCTGCCATCAAATATATCAGAGCGATGTATCTATCATAATAGCAATGTAACAGAAGGTATCAAGGATACAAACCATATGAAGTTATTCCTCCAGCTGAGTTTTTGCTACTGGAGGAAGAAAGCATAGGCACGCCACTGTGGAGAAGGGCAGCAAGATCTTTATATCCTTCGTGTAGCAGAGCATTGTAGAACGATATATAGGAATAATTATCTTTATTAAGTATAAGTTTAATTAGCGTAGCTGCTCGTTGATGGTTACTGGGCTAAAAAAAAAATTAAGTAATTTAGTATACAGTGATAAGTATGTTTGCAACATAAATCAATGAAGACCAGTATCAAATTCTGAAATTTTAAGAAAAAAAGTAGACTGTCTGAAATGGTTTTACCTGATTTCTTACTCTTTCCTCCTCTAATATTGTTAAAACTCCATCACTAATCATATGATCCATGATGTATGCTGTTTTGATATCCTTTTCCAGAGCTTCTCTATGCTGAAGCAAACAATTTCGAGCTTTTGCATCCATCCTCTGTCCAAGTTTCTCCTTGTTGAGCTCTCAACCATGAGCTACAGGTAAAACATCAAAATATTTGTCAGGACAATAAACATATGAAAAGATGTGTAAGCTGGGCATGGTGGCACATGCCTGTAAACCCAAAACTCTAGAAGGCTGAGACAGGAGAATGGCAGGTTGGAGCCCTGCCTGCACAATTCAGTAACTTGGTAAGACCCTGTCTCACACAAAATTTTTTTTTAAATGAGCTGGGGATAGAGCAGTGTGAATGGTTCAGTCCCTAGAACCCCAAAATAAACAGGATGTGGAACCTCACTGATTGTAGAGAATTGTAAAGAAAATTTGCATGGTTTTTTTTTTCACTAAGGCTTTTTAAAGTGGACAAAACTCAGCCAAGGCACGATGGTGCACACTTATAATCCCAGCCATTGGGAGGTTGGGGCAGGAGGATCCCCAGGAGTTCAAAGCCAGCCTCGACTACACAGTGAGTTTAAGGCCAACTGAACTGGATAGTATGACCCTGTCTCAATTAAATAAATAAACAAAACTCAATGCTTTAAAAGGGTGAGAAATTTAGTATTCTTATGCACTATCTTGGGAGAATACCAAATGGAGGCAACTTTTCTAGAAGCCGATATAAGACACAGAAGAAGTATTTAAAATAATCATTCTCAGGTGTGGTAATGTATGCCTTTTAATCCCAGCATTTGAGAGGCTAAAGCAGGAGGACTAGTGTGTTTTTTAGGTCAGCCTGGGCTATATGTTGAGTTCAAGGCCAGCCTGAACTACACAGCAAAAGCCTGTCTCAAAAAAACCAAAAAAATAAATCAATCAATCAAATAAAGCATTCTCTATAACCCAGAAACCCCATTTCTAAAAATCTATGAGGAGACAGTCATTTATGTATGCAAAAACATCTACAGCAAGACTTAATGGAGTGTTAAGGTGAGAAAAAAATGAACGCATCCTAAATGTCTTATTTTGAACATGGATTTTTTTAAAAATTAGGGTGTACATACAGAACAGAATGTTATCCATGCATTTCATGTATAAAAACATACATGGAAAGATGCTCAAGGCACACTGCTGAGAAAAATTAGAAACACGACCCCATATATAAAAAGAAAACGTGCTGATGTCATACAAATACGTTTTGAAGTTTGTTCATTAAAACATTAGGGCTATGGGGGCTGGGGATTTAGCTCAGTGGTTCTGCCACCTGCCTCGCAAGCACAAGGTCCTGAGTTCGATCCCTGGTACCAAAAAAAAAAAACAACTTTTTTTTAATTTAAAAAATACATTAGGGCTACTGAATAGCAAGACTTGGTATTTTCCTTACTCCTTTTTTTTTCATATACTTTTGTATATTGTCTTAATTTTTTCAGTACACATCAGTTTTACAATAAAAACATTTTTTTACATTAAGATTTTATGTTAGTGACCATACTTAAGCCGTAATGTTTACAAACATTTTGTTCTTTATCCCTCATAAAGACTAGACAAAGCATTGTTGGAATTTTTAGTTCTTATTCAAAGTGGCTGTCAGCTCTAGATTTTCATTAGTAAACATTCTCACACAACAACAGGAAATACCCTTTGATGTAACTTGTAGGATTAAGAGGTGACCCAGGGTTTGGTTTGGTTTTTTCTTCTTCGAGACAACGTCTCTACATAGTCCACGCTGGCCTTGAACTCTGGTTCCTCCTGACTCAGCCTCAACGGCTAGATGTGTGCCAACATGCTCAAAGAATAATATTCTTTACAGCAAAATACTTTTAAATCTCTTCAACTTTGTTTCAAATATAGTGCAAATTCTTCTAGGGATTTAAGGCCCTGTGTACAGAAAGCCTACTAATTTTGGGGGGTACTGGGAATGTACTCCAGCCCTTGTGCTTGCAAGGCAGGCTGCAGAACTACAGAGTAAAAAACCCAGCTCTCCTAAAAATTTTTAAAAAGCAGAACTCCATCCAAAGAATTGCAGTGAAATGTCTAAATTTATTTAGCTTATTTATTTATACAATACACCTTGCCTGTATGCCAGGCACCTGAGAGTCCTTAAAAAATATCCTAGGGCTGATGATTTAGCTCAGTGGCGCTCCATCTGCCTCACAAGTGCAAGAGATTAAGAATTATCCCTGAAAAGCCAAGTGTGGTGGCGCACACCTGTAATCCCAGCACTCCAATAGCTGTGAGTTTGAGACCAGCCTGGGCTACATAGTGAGTTCCACGTCAGTCTCAAATACATAGTGAGACCATCTTTAAAAAAAATTAAAAAAAAATAAATCCCTGAAAGAATTCACCATCTAATCAAAGAAAAACAGAGCAATAATTAGAATGTGAATATCTTAAGTGCAAAACCAGAGATAAGTATAAGTAATTCAGAAGGCACAGAAAGGGGGCAATAATCAAGCTTGGAAAATGAATGTACTTTTGAAAAGTCACCAAATGCAGCACTTTTCAAAAGTAGGGAAGTAGCGCGTTTGCCTACGCTCATCAAGGACTAGTGTGAAACTGCTTTTTTTTAAAGTCAGTTTCAGGAATATCACATTTTCAAAATGTTAGGACACTTCTCAATTTATAGTAAGAAAATTCGACTTGACATAACAAACTTTTTTACGTTATGTCCAATTGCTAAGCCAACAAGGCGCTGGCAATCGAAACTAATTTCCAGTTTTACTCAGCCTTATTAAACTGACACGCACAAGTTTAAAGCACGTTAAAAACCTCTGCACAAACTGAAATGCGATCAAATTCGCCAAGGACCCCCACCTTTTGTAAGCACATCCAAATGGAAAACCCCTTTCCAAAAAGGAAAAACGAGACCCCTCGCAGATGTACAAACAGTTAAATTCCTCCAAGAAACTGTAAGCGTCTACTACTTCCTCTTCAGAGGATCTCTCTTCCCGGTACGGGGCCAGTGGTAATCGCCCGGGCCCCAGACCTCCGTCGCTGAAATCCGCTCCTGGACCCCGGGAGAAGGCAGCGGGTCCCTCACCCGGAGCTGGGCGCCGGGCCCCTCCGAGAAGTGCGGGGCGGCCGAGGGCGGCGGCGGGG